AATATTAAAATAGAAACACTAAACTTGCTGGAAGGTAAGTCAGGCAGAACTCTGGAAGACACTGGCATAGAAAAAGACTTTGTGAACAAATCCTCAGTAGCACAGGAACTAGCAGAAAGAATCAACAACTGGGATCTCATCTTATTAAAAAGCTTCTGTACTGCAAAAGAAACCATCAGCAGAACTAAGAGACAACCTACAATGTGGGAAAAAAATTTTACCAGCTGTTCCTTTATATATCTAGAATATATAAAGAACTCAAAACAATCAGCCCTCCCCAAATATAAAGACCCGATTCAAAAATGGGCATCCGAAATGAACAGACCTTTCTCAGACAAAGAAGTAAAAGCAGCAAAGTAAATATATGAAAAAGTGCTCCACATCACTGATGATGCAGATGAAAACAACACTGAGATTCCACCTCACCCCACAAAGAATGGCTGCTATCAAGAAATCACACAATAAAAAATGTTGGCGTGGTTGTGAGGAGAAAGGAACCCTTCTCCATTGTTGGTGGGAGTGCAGACTGGTGCAACCACTGCAGAAATCAATATGGAGATACCTCAAAGAACGGGGACTGGAGGTTCCATTTAACCCAGCCATCCCTCTGCTGGATATCTTTCCAAAAGATCTAAAATAATCATATCACAGTGATGTATGTGCACCCATCTTTATAGCAGCACAGTTTATTATAGCTAAAACTTGGAAACAGCCCATTTGCCCATCAGTTGGAAAGTGGATAAAGCAGATGTGGTTTTTCTATAAAATGGAATATTATTCAGCCATAAAGAACGAGAAAATAGATTCATTCATAGGAAAATGGATACATATTGAAGATATACTCCTAAGTGAAATACATAAGTCACACATGTGTAAATACCGAATAGTTTCTCTGGTGTGAATAATCTGCAATAATACATAAGATCCTAATAAGATTACTGACAATGTGAAATGGGAAGAAAGGGGCTAAAGCTGTAGGGAAGGTGGGATGAGTAGGGGAAGGGTAATAAGGGAAAAGAAAATAATGTGAGATATGAAAAGATGAAAATAAAGTGTTTGCAGATGGAGGGGAGGAGGAGGTGAAGGGAGGGCAGGGACAGGGGGAAAAAATGAGAACCAAGACCTGTCATGTAGAGGTACAAGTTCCCAACAATGAATGTAACTGTACTGTATCCCTAAAATGTACCTAAAATAAACTCAATTAAAGCTGAAAAAAAATTAGCTTTAAGAACTAGTGTTACTCCAAGTTTTTGTCATAGTGGCAAAGGTTACAAGTTACCTAACCACTGTCCATTCTATTTTCTTTATTTTTGGCAGAACTACTTAGATAGTTGTGGGCATCCCTGTATCTGGTTAAAACAAAAAACACAGAAAAATTGAGAAGTCACATTTTCTAGTCTTGCCTGAAAAGGAGTAGGGCAGATGGCATTTGGAGGTGGCAGTGATAGGGAGGGGCTCCTTTTCTATTGTTTTCAAAGCTGTTAGTGGTCCTTGCACAACTCCTCAGCAACTGCCAATCCTGCTCAATGCTTTAGGTACCATCTGTACTAACCGCACAAAGATATCTCAAATCCATGAAAGCATGGTCAAGATTGGCAGGGAGTTACTGACCCTGAAAACACGATTCAATCATTTGATCTGGCAATGGGTTAATAGCATCCATCTTCCTTAGCCTCAGATATGTTCTATACCCTTTTCCAGATGTCACCAGCGAGACTAAGTCTAACCTGTTCACAACATTACTACACTCACCGATGTTCATACTCTTGGTTTCCTTTCCTTGACTCACTTCACCAATCACTGAACTGTGTTTCCCAGGATCACCAAATCGACTGCTTGATCTCAAATCCTGGTCACCTATCAAGTAACCAAATGTAAGATATCATCTCTGGACTAAGGTGGGACTTCTTTTGAATAAAAAAACCTAAACACCACTAGCTTAAGCCTCAGTTTTTTGAGTTTTCCATCATATGCTGTTAAACCTCATCTTATCTGACCCAATTAGCCATGTGACGAGATGATACCTTTTCATTTTGGAGGTGGGAAGCGCTGGGTATTAAATCCAGAGCTTTTTGAATACTAAGCATGTCCTCCACCACTGAGCTACACCCCAACCCCAATGTTACTGATACTTTATTATGTTTAAATCACCATCTACTACCAGATCCTTTTCTAATATAGAACTGTTGTTAAAGATCAAATGGCAGAAGAGGAATTTGAAAGCCTTTAGATTGGGTAAATTCTGAAAATTGCTAAAAAGAAATGTTGAAAATTATGTTTTAAATGTTTACTTGTAGCAAATAAATTTCCACAAATATATGGCCTCCACACTAAATGATGAAGTAAAAGTAAATCCCAGTTCTTACAGACTCATCCACAGCTTTGAAATTATTGAACACCTACTTCTTCCTGAAAAAATGTATCATTATTTGGCCCTTGGAAACCACTCTTTGGAGGATCCTTTTCAGAGGACTTTGCCGATTCCTTCTCATTGTGAGCTGGAGCGCCAGGGCTCAGTCCTTGGCTTATCTGTCCGTGTTATCTACAAACACTGTTTATCTGATCCTGTAACTTGAACTGATATCCTTCATGCTTTCATGCTGATCCTGGATCTTAAATTTCTATCTTCAGCTTTAACCTCCCTTCTGAAATTGAGACCCAGAAATAATCACTTATAAAATGCAGGGAATTAGCTGATTTACAAATTGCATATGAACAAAAACCAGGTCAAATTATTATTGCAGTCAGCCCTTGTTTCAGTGACAGCTAATAACTGCACAGGCCACAAGTCTATGGAACTATCCTTAATTCCTCACTTCTCTTTCAACACTGCATTCTACCAGTCAACCCTATCAACTCTATGTTTAACTGCCCCTAAAATCAGACTCCTTCTCCCTTACATCTTCAGCACAAACAGTTATCATTTACTGCTTCACACGCCTCCCGTTTGGTCTTCCAAACCTACTCTTGCACACACACTGTATCTTCCAAACATCAGCATGTTCCTTCTAAAAATTCAAGTTACATCAATGCATTGCTCAACTTTTCTAATGTATTCACATGGAATTCTAGGTTTCCACCTATAGAACCCTGTGTAACGGACTCCCAGTGTTTCTTCCACTTTATCATCTGCCACTCACCCCATCATTCACTGTTTGTCTCAGTGAGCTCTGTGCTGGTCCTTTTACACATCGTGAAGCAACTTCCCAGTCTTCTAACTTGCTGTGCCCTCCATCTAGAGCACCCTTTCCCAAGCCAACTGCATGATTCTTCCCATCACTCTTTAAAGTCCCCACTGAAGTGAAGGCTCAATAACTCTCTGAAGGCACCTCACCCAGCTGTCTCACTTCCATACTCTATTCCTTTAGTCTTTAATTTTTCAACATACTTACAGCCACTTCACTTATCAAAGGCACTACCTACCTACACTAAAAGTTTGAGAAGAGCAAGAACTCTGTCATATATATTTGTGGGGGGGAGGCACCAGGGATCAAACTCAGGTCCTTGCGCTTGCAACGCAGGCAGCAGAACCACTGAGCTAAATCCCTGGCCCTCTGTCTTATATTTTATTCACTGCATATCTGCAGCATCTGGACAGTTACCCAGAACAGTGGAGGCATACTACAAATATTTTAGTGAATGAATAAGTGATTGGATTATAATCACTTTTCATCAAATAATTACCTTTTGCAACCACCAATTCAAATAGCTGATCATAGTCTGAATATTCAAGAAAGATAAGTGTACTTCTGAATATATCTGGTAACAGGTTTTTTTTTCTATTTTCCCATTGATCAAGGAATTGCCCCCTTTCATAAAAAGGCACAGCTGAGCAGAAGCTGAACTACGACAATCACATTTCTACTAGGATTGCTCAGTAGAAGAAATACTATATATACAGGAAAAATCTACACTTTTCTGTAACTGCTCTTTCCATGTTAGTCAAGATGCTAACTAAAAACCAGAAAGCTGGCAACTATTTGCACAATTGTTAAAATGAAATGCTGACTGGGTCCAGTGGGCTTCTAAAATGTATTGGTACAATGAAGTAAAGAGATGACAGGAAAAGAAAGGTCAGCAACACAAAGTGCACTAATACTGCTTTTTATTTCATGAAGTCCAAATTATTGCAAGCATTGATTTTAAGAACATTTTATGTAGACAGTTTTGAAAGGCAAAAAGAGACACAAAATATACACACATGAAGAGTGATCACTAGAGAATTCGAAGTAATTCAGAACAAAGATCAGAACATTATTTGAAGAGTGGAGATCTTGAGAAACCGTGCACACTAAAATGAAAATATACAATGAAAGTAGAACTGTACACATCTGCATTTCACAATTTAAATGACACAAGTTAATGATGAAGTAGGAAAAGGTCGTTGTGAGCAACTTTCAATCATTCATTTCCCAATGCAGATCTTTAATTCTACACCCACATCTCTGAATTCTATCCACTTATTAGTCAAATAAAATTTTCCTAAAAAGCTAGAAACAGGATCAGAGATTTATAAGTATTCATTATCAGAAGAAATGGAAAAGGTGTTTCCACTGAAAGGCCTCTGATTCCTAGATTCTCCACCTACTGTAAACCAGTTAAAAGTCTACCCTGATGTGTCAAAGCTTGGAAATGGGAATGTTGTACAACCCTGGACTTCATTCTGGTTATTCCCTACAAGGCAGAGAGGAAGAGGAAGGTATAAGTGGGTCCCTAGACCCCAAAGAAGGATTCAGACACACACACACGTGCGCACACACACACACATCTATATATACTTAATGTCTACTCCCAACTAATGATACAAATGATTTGGGGAAGTGAATTAGGATTATTGATCATTGATTTAAAAGGCCATACTTCAAAGTGGTTTTTTTTTTATCTTCATCTCTAATTCAGGTAAACTAAAATAGACAAGTTAATTTTAACTTTGGAAAATAAACATTCAGCTTACATAAGACATATGTTCTTATAAAGTAAACATATATATAAATAGTTTCTTTTAAAACTAGTTTTGTCATGCTCCTAATGTCCTTAAAATCTGTACTACAAAGGCCACAGGTGTATTTTTCAAGGAGTGTTTCAAGGGCTGCTGATACCCTTTTGCTGGCAAAACATCAGACTGATTAATCAATACAAGATTTTTTTAAAAACCTGTGTTTCTCAGATTATACAATGCATCAAAATCACTTGGAGGACTTGTTAAACTACAGAACACTGAGCCACACACACAGTTTCAGATTCAGTTTGTCTGAAGTGAGGCTTCAGCATCTGCATTTTCTAAACGTTCCCAGTTGATGTTGACTCTGCTAGTACAAGAACCATTCAAGAGTCATTGTTTTAAACCATTAATTTATAAGTTCTTTAAGGAGCAGTGTAAGATTAGAACCAAAGATCCAATGGTATTTACTAAACTCTCTTTGCAACTATGGCCAGAGACAACCCTTGAGAAACTCATTCTTTTTAAAACTGCCTCCTTCGTATCAACGTTAGCGCCCAGGGAACAAGAGTCCTGATCACCATTAGCTTAGCGGTTTGGTTCTGCAATGGCTGGACTGGAGCACTTCCTATTTCTCATCAGAAGGGCTATAATCTACCATGTGTCTCCAGATGCCCTGCTACATATCTCTACCCAGGAGGTCTATCTCATCCAAGAGGAAGTCCATGTCCTCCCGGCTTACTTGAGGGCTAATTACCACCTGACGGAAGAAGTTCACCTTTCCCCGGTGCTGCTGGTAGCCCAGCATGAGGCTTCCCTTCTTCATCATCCTCTCTTTGATGGCTGGGGCCACCTGTGAGGAGAAAAGAGAGGGAGGTGAAACATCAGAGCGCCAAAGCACATTTTAATCGGCCATTCTCCTGTAGACAGCCCGTTCTTATGTGCACAAGGCTGACACTATAATAATTATAATAATTTATTGTGAACTAATATAGATGATTCAGCTATTCTAGACATACTGCTTATTATTATAGTTTATACTAATATGCTCATTTATAGACAAGGACATTAAGGTATATGGAAGTTAAATAAATATCCCTTATCCCAGGCAGTCTCACTCTAAATTCAGGCCTGAAATCTAAATCATTACACAATGCTATCCCTAAAAATCAAATTATGGCCTCAGGTGTAATAGTCTCAAAGGTATCAAGTGTTACATTCCTAAATTTATCTCAACTAAAAAACAGTTTAGGGGGCCAGGGATTTGGTTCAATGGTTCTGTAGCCTGCCTCGCAAGCACCGAGGCCCGAGTTCGATCCCCAGTACCAAAAAACAAACAAACAAAAAAAACCAAAAAACAACTTAGGGTACCTTGAATAAAGAAAAAAAATTAGCAATGTTTATTTTTCTTAGTACATGTTTGCAGTACATAATGATTACATTCATCATGGGGGGATGGAACATGTAAATAACACATCTCAATCTTTTCACTTCATTATAGATGGGGCAAAAGCATCATGAAGTTGTGTAACATGGAAAAGACACCATGACTGTTATGTGCGGTTATTAGCTTTTTTATAAGAACCTACATTTTTCTGTCAATTATTGTGCTTTTAAAATATATGGCTGAAGCAAAGACCCTAGAAGAAATGAAAGTTTGATATTACCCTCATACACAAAATATAAACACTCTGCCTTTTACTAAGAGGTCTAAAAGTGGTAATAAAATTAGGAAGCGTATATTTTATGAAGTATTTATAGCTGACATGAAAAATATTGGCCCTGATAATCTAAATGTAAAAATTTTTCTAAAAGTTTAATGTGTAAAGAAATTATTCCATTTTAAGAACCACATGGAAAATCAGTCCATTTTCAAATCAATAGTAAGACCACCCAAGAGCTAGATTGCAAACTTCTGAAACAGCAAAGTTAACTTTTGAAATACCAAGCTAAAAATTTAACAGCACACTCCTGGGTTGAAAATACAAGCAAAAATTTCCATTTGAATTTTATTTCAGCTCTCTGAAAACCTTTTGCGTGTGTCCTACATATGTATGTGGGAAGGGAACACCATGAACAAACTTTGTGTTTTCAGAAAGATGAGATTTAGTCTATCTAGAAGTTATAAAGCATATATTAACAATTCCAGGGAGAATGTGCTTCTAAACTTAGATGAGGGGATAATTCTAAACTTAGATGAGGGGCAAATTCTCAGCGCCTATCAACTTATCTCTCACAGTATAATGTCCCATATACTCTGATCTTTCGTTATGTGTTTCCTTAGATACAATCCCCCTACAACCCCAAAGGCAGGGCAGTCTACTTCATTTGACATTCAACAAAACCTTGATCTGTTCTGAAGATGATGGAAAAATCCAGTTTGAGAGCTCTGGAGAGATGATGTGTTGAACATTTCAGAGCCCTTTCAAGAGAGGTCCAAGGGCAATTTTAACAATGTTTTCTTGCTATGTGCTAATTTTAGTGCCTAAGTTTTGCAACATAGACTACATTGTGACTACAACAAGAACAACAAAACATTTTATTCAGCAAAGTCACCTTGCTTCATAGCAAAAAACTTCAGATCTTTTCATATAAAGACATTTTAGATGTACAGACCCTTGCCCTTGAGTAAGGCACAAAGCTGTGATTCTATGGGAAAAACACACAGCACAAGAAGCAAACTTTTAAGCCAAATTTCATCACTGTTTTCCAATATTATAAAGAAGTGTCTAAATATCTGTATGACTCAGAGAACTAGTTAACAGATATTTTATGGATGTATCCACGAACTACAGAGATTAGCTCCTGGAGGGAGGCAAGCAAAAAGCAAAATCTACTTTATACAATATTTCATGGGAAAAAAATCAGAAAGAAATCTAAAGGGTGATACTTATCAAATCTTTATTACAAATTAGTATTGATGTAATGGCAGTAAAATTGTCATTATTAAATATTTGCTAACAAATATTTCACCAATCCTTTACAATTTGAAATATTCTTTCACCTTCTCCATTCTCATAAACTCAAATTAAAACTTATTTAAAATGAAACTATGCATTTGCAATTTAGGGACTAAGAATGTTCCCATTGGCAGCCAGTTTATCACCTTTGCGCTTTCACAAATCAACCACTTTCTATTTATAAAGCTGTAAGTATAATCCAATGCTGTGCAATTTGGATATTCTCTTTTGCTGATCACAGCAGAGAAACAGTCTTAATCTGACAGGATGGAATATTTACAGGGGAAAGAAAATATGCACAAACTGAATGTAAGTATCTGAATATTGCCCCTAAATGGAGCATGCATAGTGGAAAGCAATTTGGCAGGAGTGAGATTGCTTTCCAGTTCTCAATTATTTTACTGCTGGTTTTCCTTCAAATTGTAAATCAAATTCTTTTCTTGTGCCTCAGTGCACTGGTTTCTGCATCTTAAGTGGTGGAAGATCCTGACATTTCTATTTGGTTGCACAGCAATTTAACTACACGTTTCTGTAGAATTTCTGTTTTTCCCCCCTTAAATTATATTCCAGCAATGATTTAGTCATTTAAACAGAATTTTGTTGTCATACTGCTGCAGCACATAATAGCTTTGGATATTTAAAAGTTTCTTAAACTAGAGGAAAACTGAAATGACTCTCTCTAGTAACACATAGCAATTTGATGAGCAACTGTCAAGGCAAGGTCACAGCTGTTGATGAAAATAAAAAGGTAATGTCCATGAAACAGGATTTCTTTTGAAGAATGTGTTACATACTTAATGTTAAGAAGAACATTATTTTTTCAATATACAAAGTATATCTCAAATTATCGGTGGGGAAGGACTAGCTTTACTTTTTAATGCAATACAGACAATATGTTGTGAAATACAATAAAAATTAATTGTTGGAAAAAAATTGAAAAACACACAAACTTACTTTTTTAAGTCTTACATTCAACCTTTAAATTATTATGGTAAGTTACTCTAAAAGCTTTTAAACAGTGACTTTGGTTTTCCATATTTTTCTTATTGTAGACTTACAACAAATAGCTCACGGATGTGCATGAGGCTGTGACCATACTCTGAGGAGTGCTGTTTCCCTTTAGGGTGGATATTATTTTATCTATGAATCCTGATGTTATTTACATACTTATTTCTGCTTCCTGACATAGTTTCCACGCCATTTGGAATAGTGTTATTGCATTTCACCACACCACCACACTACACCTCTCTGATTGACCTAAAATTTTCCCAATTGCCTCATTTTGATTTTGCTTCATTTGAAATGGTATTTTATTGAAATTCCAGACCCACTCATGAAACCTCTAAATCAGTTCTTCAAAGGCTGGTCCAGAGATTATAATAGTAAATGATTTGAAATATTCTAGGTTCTTTACACATCTCTGTCTTATCAGTTGCTATGTGGGTGATAGTCACATTTTTCACCTATAAATTTGGCGTAGAGTGACATCCTGGTTGGCTAAGAAAACAAACCTATAATTAAATGAATTGATCCTTTTGTAGCAAATAAGAAAGGCAAAGACCACATAGGCTACTACTGTCTGTTAAGATAGCAAGGATATTTGGAATTTCTAATAAAAGCAAAGAGATTAGTGTTTTGCTAAATCATTTTCTAAAGCATGAATATATTTATATTTTTCAAATTGTAGATTTTAGGCAGTTTCCTCAATTTCAGTTTCATTAATTCAATCTCTCCCAAGGTAGCGAAGATTATTTGGGTTTTGAGAGGCTAAACTCATAATGATTTGCAGATCTTTGGGAAAGAGCACAGTATAACCAGGTAGATTAAATATATGAAGAGTAAACTGAAAATTTTTATTGCAATAAAATATTATCAAATAATTTATGCCCCATACCAAATGTAAATATTATAATGTTTGGAATCTATACAAACTCTAATTTGAAATCTTGTATTTAATTTCTCTTTATCCACACTAAGCTTCATGCATCTTTGTCCTCTTCTGTCATTCTCAGAAGAGAATTCCGACTTAAGTGAACTACTCTTTCCAATTCATGGTTAAGCAATTATATCTAAAAAAGAATAGTGGGGGCTGGTTCAGATGTTATCCTTGAATTGCATTTGTTATGGATGAGGGTGGCAAACTTCTTTCTTATAAAAGGCCAGACAGCAAATATTGTAGACTTTGCAAGCAATGAACTCTCTGAGGCACATACTTAACTTTACCATTATAACTTGAAAGCAGCCAGAGACAACATATAAACAAATGAGTATGGCTGTGTTCTAATAAAACTTTCTACGGACAATGAAATTTAATGCATAACTTTTATATGCCATGAAATACTATACTGCTTTTTATTCTTGTATAGTCATTCAAGAATGTAAAACCTATTCCTAACTGCCAGGCTGTATATAGTCAAATAAGCGACAAGCTAGATTTGACCATGGACCATCCCTTACCTTCCCTCTGATCTAACTGGAAAAAGGACATCATGATATATAAAACTACCCCTACAAAGGACAAAGTGCACAGAAAATTATGCTTATTGAATGTGTCTCAGAAGTTTAGTATTGAGCCCAGAAATTATAAAGGTCTTAACTCTTCTCCAATAGAGCACAAAGAGCCACAGATGGGTTGGAATTGCCAGTATCGCTTTCCTTAAACACAATTTTTCTGGAACAATCAGAAAAAACAAATCACTTTATACTTTCCCCAAAAATAATGTGGATTCCAAATATGCTCCACCCTCTATATTAATTTTAAAAGGGTTCTGAGTAAGATTAAAATACGGATTATGAAAAATGTTGACATAAAACGCTCCCACTTTATACCTAGCACACAACCCAAATTGTTTTTGAGATTTAAATAACTCTTCCATTAAATCTCCTCATCTTC